GCTGCAGGCAGGGAGTTACTGAAGGTGGCTCTTTGACTGCTGCAGGGCAGGGAGTTACTGAAGGTGGCTCTGACTGCTGCAGGCAGGGAGTTACTGAAGGTGGCTCTTTGCTGCAGGCAGGGAGTTACTGAAGGTGGCTCTTCTGGCCAAAGTCCTTCACTCCCACCAAACCACTTTTCTAATGACAGGATCCACCTGTGCGTAACTATCAACAGGATCCCCCAGAATGCCATGCTGTGCTCTCCCGAGAATGGGGACGGGGACGGGGTGGGGTGGGGGTGGGGATCTCACTACCAGCAAGAGCTGGCAGTGGAGGGTGTTCTCTGGACCCTGAGATCCCTGCACAGTGAACCTCCTGGATCCGGAAGAACGGCTGACAACCACTTGAAAGGTGGCTCTGACGCCCAGCACCATTCTCAGGCAACAATGCCTGTGACCAGAGTCCGCATTGCATCAAGTAGTTCATCACTTACCTTTTATTGTTATAAGGCAGGTTTTCCCAAATTTCTGGAGGCACATAATAAGGTGTTCCCACATACGTACAAGCAAAGGCCATGGGACTAAAACCAAAAGAGGCAAAGAATGGTTACAGAACAACCCTAAACAACGGGTGTCTATAGATTAAATTGATATATTAAATAATGTGCTATAGTTGCTACTATAGTTACCTACTTGGAGAGAAGACGGGCAGATCCAAAATCTCCCAATTTCACTTTTCCACTTTGGGTGAGGAACACATTCTGCATTAGGGTGAGAGAGAGAGAGAAAGAGAGCTTCCCCAGGGCTCTGCAGAAGCGGTCTCACAAAGGCTGTCAATGATGGCAGTCAAGGGTAGACAGCTGAGGACAAAGGTGGCCACACAAGGGACAGACACCCTCTTGACAGCCTCCCCCCTCCCCCCCCCGGGGATTCTGGAGGATGGCTTAGAGAGCTGGCGTGTGAATCTCACCTTGTATCAACTGACCCCCATCTAAGGACTGGGCACCTGTGTCAGGGGAATGCCACAAAACAGGTGGAGGTGGCAACCATCTTCCCTCTGAGCATACTTGGGCTTCGTAAGCAGTCACTAAAAAAGCTTGGCACACATTAACATGCGCCTAAAAACACTCTCAAGGCCTTTTCTTAATATGCAGAATCATCTTATCTGAAAACAAAACAACGTGTCCTGTGTCCTTGGTTTCTGAGACAGAATCCTTGTCATTTCTGGAGTAAATGAGATAACTTGGGTCATCTAAACCACACCTGGGGATTAGTGTTAATAACTGGGGAGCGGGGGATGGGGTTAGACCACTACGACCACCTGGCACCCGAATAGGAATTAACCTCATGAGACAGGATTTAAATCTACTGTAGGCAATGAGGCTTCAATCGTAGCCATGATTAAGCCAATAAAGGCTCTGAAAATGAAGCCCCAAGAGCTTCCTGGTTGGTGAAGGGAAGCCCGGAAGCTTCCCATGGGAAACCCTCCCAGACTTCCCCATGTGCCCTCCTTATGACGGTCCTGCCTTCTTTTGCGAGAACAACACTACCAACTTAGTACTTTCTGTGAGTTCTGTGAGTTGTGGTGGTGGATTACTGACTACAAAGAAGTAGTGATACCCAGCAAGTGGAAGTGACAGTAGATGTGCAAGGAGGCCCCCAAGCTTGTGTCTGACTTTCTAAAGAGGTGGTGAGAAATTGGCTGGGGGTGAGGGGTGGGAGGTGGGGGGCAGCTGATGTCAAAGATCATGAAGGCAAGAGAAAATGTAAATTTGATTAAGATTTAATCATCTTCCTACTCTGGGGATTGGAATTGTATCAGCCATAAAGTCAAACAAAAACAAACTCACTGCCACCGAGTTGACTCCAACGCACAGTGACGCTGTAGGACAGAGCAGAACTGCCCGGGTGGGTTTCTGAGGCTGTAATCTTTACGGGAGTAGAGAGCCTCCTCTTTCTCCCATGGTTTCGAACTTCTGACCTTGCAGTTAGCAGGCCAATGCGTAACCACTATGCAACCAGGGTTCCTTATCACAAAGTCAGGTAGTGTTTTACTTAGGTAGCAAAAATACTAGGGTGACAATTATTTCTAAACTATACAAAAAAAAAACAAAAACCAAACCCAAAAGAAACTGAAATGATCCATAAAAAACAGTAAGAATGCTTTTTCTTTCTCTCTTATATTTAGTCCCAAAAATCTATATTCCACTCACCTTGGATTTGATATCTCTATGTAACACACGCTTCTTGTGAATGTGATTTACTCCAAGGCACATTTGTGTGAACCAACTAAGTATCTGTCAGAAAAGAGAAAGCAGAGCAACAATTGCTTCACGTTAATCCAAAATTCAGAAGATAATGTCTAAGCCTTAGATAGACCAGAGTACTACACAATTTAAATGTCGAACGCCTGAATATTGTGCAGTTCAACTAAGATTCAGTGCCAGCTGGAGAAATTCAGCAAAGCTATAAACTCCACAGTCTATCATCTTATATAGGGTCCAAATGATCATTTATTTTAGTAAAACTCTCTGTTTCCACCACTCCATCAGTTTCTCTAATGTGGTCGCCTGTGTATTGCTGTGATGCTGAAAGTATGTCACCAGTCTTTCAATACCAGTTGGGTCACTGGCATTGACAAGTTTCAGGGGAGCTTCCAGGTTAAGGCAAACTAGTAAGAAGGAAGAACTGGTCCACATCTGAGAACTTCGCCATGAGAACCTATGAATAGCAGCGGAACATTGTCTGACGCAGTGCCCAAAGATTCACGGCTCAAGCGGGAAGACGCTCCAAACACCCCTGGGGAAGCGAGTCAGTGTGGATGTAGCTGGAACAACGCTTAGGGGACCTGCCTTTGCTGCTGCGGCATGACTCCAAACGAGAACAGGGTGACTGCAGACATCCAACCATAATTAGAATGTGGAATGCACAAAGTATGAATCTAGGAAAATTGGAAGACATGAAAAATGAAATGGAATGCCCCCAGATGGGTAATCTGCACATCAGTGAGCTGAAATGGACTGGTATTGGCCATTTCGAATCGGACGATTATATGATTACTATGCCACGAGCTACAAATTGAAGAGGAACGGCGTCACAGTCATTGTTTGAAAGAACGTTCTAAGATCTATCCTCAGATAAAACCCAGTCAGTGATAGAATAACACTCACATGCCGACACGGGAGACGAGTTAATATGACTATTATTCAAATTAACCACTAATGCCAAAGACGAGGAAACCGAATGTGTTTACCAATTCTGCAGTCTGAAATTGACCACATATGCAATCAAGATGTATCGGCAATTACTGACAATTGAAATGAAAAAAATGGGAAACAAGGAAAAAAGATCAGCAATTAAAAAACATCGGTGATAAACAAGACACCGGAGATCGTATGATAGAACTTTGCCAAACCAACAGCTTAGTCATTGCCAATACCATTTTTGAGCAACGTAAATGGCAACGAAATAAGGACCTCACCCAACGGAACACACTTGAATCAGGTTGCCGACATTTGTTGTAGGAGACAATGGAGAAGCTCAATATCATCAGTCAGAATAAAACCATCACAGATCATCAGCTGCTCTTTGAAACTCAAGAAGTTGAAGTTGAAAGAAAGCTAAAAGAAACTCACAAGAGCTGAAACATAACCTTCAGTATGTTGGGCCGGGTCACAGTACACTTCACTTGAATTTACAGACCATTTGAAGAATAGATTAGCTGCATGGAACACTCATGTCAGAAGATCAGACAAGTTGTGGGATGAGAGCAGTGAAATCACACACAAAGAAGCCAAAAGCTCAAATAAGAAGCAAGAAAAAAATAATATCACACTGGACGTCAGACAAGGCTTTGAAACTTGCTCAAGAGCTAGAGCAAAAGGAAGAAATTTTAAAAAGGTGATGTCCGGCTGGCTGCCGCTGCCTCTCCTCCGAGAGATGACGATCCGTATTACAACACGCACATCAACCTGAGGACAGGGAGCATCGTCGGCAGGTCCCTGGTGTTGGTGGCCTACGTGATTTTCAGCTACTGCTGCTCCCACAAGGAGCTCAAAAACGAGCGGTTATGGAAATACCACTGAGGAATCTGGGACAAGGTCCGTCACCTGCCTTCCGGGTCTGGCCCCTTGCCCTTTCCCCCACCCCGCTGGGGAATAGCCCTTACCCACCCTGAGAACATGCGCTCAATAAAAGATGACAGGTAAAACACACAGAAAACAAGACATTTGGAAGGCTGCTCCCTGGCCAACCAACTGAAAGAGATCCATATTTGTACCTTTTCCAAGAAAGGCAATCCAAAGAATTCAGAAATGGCCAAATATTACTATCACAGAGAATACATTTTCACTGAAGATCATTCAAAAATGGTTGCAGCAGTACTTCCACAGGGAACTGCCAGGAGTGGAGGAGGATTCAGAAGACCTGGGATGAGGGATCTCACTAGCACAGCGGATGGATCTTTAGCCGAAAGCAGAGAATACCAGCAATATGTTTACCTGTGTTTCATTGACTATGCAAAGGTATTAAACAGTGTGGATCATAACAAACTATAAAAACATTGCAAAGAGTGAGAATTCGGGAACCTCTAACCATTCTTACACGGAACCCTTACATAGACCAAGAGGCAGTCATCTGAACAGAACAAGGTGGTAACGTATGGTTTGAAAGCACAAAACGTGTGCATGTCAGGGCTGCATCTTTTCATCAGATTTATTCAATCTGAATGCAGCATCAGAGTTGGAGGAAAAATTAAAAAGCGGTGGTATGCAGATGTCACAACTTGAAGTACTTACTGGTGAAGGTCAAAGGATTACACCTTAACATAAAGACAAAAAAAATTCTCACAATGGGAGCAATATAAGCAACATTGGGACAAACAGAAAAAGGACTGACGGCCCCAAGAGTTTCATTTTACTCGAATCCACAATCACCAGTTAAAGAAGCAGCAGTCAAGAAAATGCCCACATACTGCACTGGGCAGATCTCATGCAAAAGACCTCTTTGAGGTGTTAAAAAGCAAAGTGGTCATTTTGAAGACTAAGGTGTGCTTGACCCAAACCATGGTGTTTTCAGTGTCATGCAGAAGCTGAACAATTAATATGAAAGACTGAAGGCAAACTGATGCCTGTAAGTTATGATGTTGATAAAGGATACTGTGCACAACTAACAAATCTGTCTAGGAAGAAGTACAGCCAGGATGCTTCTTGGAATCAAAGATGGTGTACCTTGGACATGCCCTTAGCAGGGATGAGTCCCTTGAGGACATCAGCCTTGGTAAAGTGAAGGTCAGGGAAAAAGAGGGACACTCTCACCAAGATGGATTGACGCAGTGGCTGCCAACAACGGGCTCCACCATTGGTAGGATTGTGCGGAGGGTGCAGGGCTGGGCAGCCCCTCCTTTGGCTGTGTGTTAGGTTGCTATGAGTCAGAACCAACTCAAAAACACCTATCAACAACCTACTTTTCTTGTCTTCCACCAAACCAAAGCATTCCTTAAGTGTGTAGATAAAAGCAGTTGTGACATGAAAGTGCTACAGCTTTTTTATCAAAGAGCCACTATGCTCGCGTTTCTTTTACCTTTCCAGAATAGTCAGATGTCAATAGTTAAAGATTTCATGACACTCCCAACAATGGCCTTCGAAGTCTGCATTTTCTACTTATTAATTCCCACTTGGTAACACCCATAATTCCCAGGTACCTCGAGGGACTACACTTCAAGTATCAAATTGATCTTCTTGTCTTTATTTATTTTTTTGACCACACTTCAAGTATCAAATTGATCTTCTTCTGTCTTTATTTATTTATTTATTTATTTATTTATTTATTTATTTATTTATTTATTTAGGCTAGATTCATCCATTTGAAGCTCAGATTGGCCTCCTCCTCCTGAAGCTCCTATTGTTACCCAAAAAGTCCTACATGAAGAATATTTATACCAATAAACTTTCACGACAGGTTATTACCTAATCCAAGCTATGCCCCACATAAAAGAGTTTATATACCCTTCTTTCTTTTTTCCTATTCAACAACTGAAAACCATTTATTGAGAATCTTTAATTTTCTACAAAAAAGACAAAGTCCTAGGTTTAGGAGAATATGACAGGCCTTAGAAGGAAAAAGACTGAGACCCACAGGCGCTCGCACACGGCAGCCTTGGTTCTTCCACTGACCCCGAGCCAGGAAGTAACACCCGCCTGCCCTCTAAGATTGCACTTCAACAAGAAATGGAATTGTTAAAGCGTTGCATGTCTTGTACAAAATATAGTGGGTGATACAATTTTGAAATTCTTCTGAATATGGAGATTTTATTCCTTGTTGTTTTGACTCATCGAATTTACTTCCTCAAAGCATCTCAAACAGCCACATCGAGATGACACGACGCAGTCCCACGGACAGAAGACACCAGTCACTTCTAAGAAATGCGCCAGGAAATTCAGATACTAAAGCTTTCGTCGTGATGTCCACCAATAATGTGAGGAAGGATGCATTAACATCTTGAGGGAGGCGATGTAAATAGCTTTTCTCTTACCGTAGCTTCAGAAAACAGCTTCCCTTTCTGGAGTCTGATCTTTTGCATGAGGTCCCCTCCATCGCAGTACTCCATCACAATGTACAGATGTCCGTCAGCTGGAACATGTCAGATGCGTTAGAAAAGCTGCAGTGATTATACATTACATTTACAAGTGCATTTTTGAGGGGGAGGAGGGGATGTATATTTACCTTCAAATGATTCTTTAAAAGCCACAATATTGGGGTGTTTCATTTTGGCTAACAGAATAGCCTCCTTCCTAGAATTCTGTGTTTTGGAGAAAGACTAGAAAGAGATTTCAAATAGGCGTCATTTAATTTTGCATTTTAAAGTCGATCACTTTTACAATAAGATACTATAGTCCGTGTGGTACTTCAACGGCGGCTACAGCTCTCTAGCACTGTAGCACTCAACTTAAGATGATCAAACACAGACAGGAAACACGGTAAATTTTCAACGAGGATTATATTTTGTAAGCTTGAACTGACCCCTTGTATTATCAAGCACAACACTTGGGAAATTTAAACAGCAATTAGATGAGACAGCCAGCATACAATTAATAATGGTATAAAACTTTCAAAAAAATGCACTAACATTGAGTGGATGCTGATTCATAGTGACCCCATAGGACAGGGTAGAATTACTCCTGTGGGTGCTGAGATTGTAACTTTGTATGGGAGTAGAAAGTCTCCTCTTTCTCCCACAGAGTGATTGGTGGTTTCAAACTGCTAACCTTGTGGCCAATGACTACACCACTAGGGCTCCTCAATAGTACAGCCTTAAAAATAAAAAAGAATTTAATATTTCTGACTATTTATACAACTGTATCAATCCACTAGTCCTGATGAAAAAGGAATTTTTTATTATATTACTGTGTCGGGAATGGACAAAGACAATTCATTCAACAGTTCAAAGGCAAGTTTCCAAAACTGTTTCTCTCCTAAGCAGAATGATTTATCTTACCATCCAGAAAGTACCACTGATTTGCAGCTAGCACAAGAGTTACCAGCATCAGCCCCAACTAGGACTGTGTGAAAAACGTACATCCATGGACCTAGGCCAACTCTTCTGGCCATCTAGATGTACTGTGGACTTCCAGAGGAACAAGCAAATCTGTCCTGAAGGAAATGCTGCCAGAAAACAGAAAGCTCCTTAGAAGCCGGGACAGCAAGACTCTGTCTTGAGTACTTTGGACCTGGTATTAAGAGACCAGTTCCTAGGAAAGGCTACCATGGGAGGGAGGGGGGGCGCGAGGGAGAGGATATGATGCTTGATAGAGTAGGCCAAGGGATAAGAAAAAGACCCTCCAGGATATGGACGGACACAGTGGCTGCAACAATGGGTTCAAACGAACAATTGGGAGGATGGTGCAGGACGCGGCAGGGCTGCTCTCTGTTGTGCATACCGTCTCTATGAGTCAGAAGTGAGTTGACAACATCTAGCAAGAACAATGCCGGATCTACTACATCAGAAAGTCTGGTGTGTAGACCAACAATCCACATTCTAACCAGCTCTCTGGGTCATCTGGATGCCCTGTGAAGTTTGAGAACCACTGTCGGAGGTCAAGGGCACAGTGCAGGAAAAAATGCTCAGCCTATTGGGAACCTCAATAAAGTGTATACTCTATTTTTTACTTGATCAAAATATTAGCAAGCAGCTTGATTCAGGGGTCCTTTCATACAGCAATGAAACGCCACTAGTTGCTCTTGAGTAGATATGAATTCATGGTGACTGTGTGTGTGTGTGTGTGTGTGTGTGTAGAACTGTATACCACAGGTGTCCAATAACTGTGATCTTTCATATGGAGACAGCAAGGTCTACTATCTGAGGTGATTATGGACACCTTTTGGTTAGCAGCTGAGTACAAAACCGTTTTTACCACCCAGGGTCTCCTGACAGCTATGAACCCACGGTCCCACAGGTGCCAAGTCGATACCGACTCACGGTGACCCAAGAAAAAAAAGCAGAACTGCTCCCTGGAGTTTCTGAGACTGTAATCTCTCAGAAGCCAAGGGTTTTGTTTGTAGAAGCAGCAGATAAGTTGGCACCACCGTCTGGCAGTGAGCAGCCCAGCACTGAACTCACGGCACACCAGTGCTCCTTTTCCACAGCGAGGATAAGCATGAGAAGCACTCTCCTCCTCTCACAGCGACAGGACAGCCAAGGACAGCATTTTGAGCCTTTGTTCTTACTGCATTTTCCAAGTACCTTTTGTCACTAACATTGCACCTGATGCTTTCCGCAGAGATTTCAGACATACTTGGGTATGGGGATGATGTATGTATTACTACAAATTATTTCCATTGACATAATATGAGCGCCAATCACCACCTAAATATTGACTGTTTTTCTTACTTTTTGTTGTTGTTGCTAATAACAATATCATACCCTCACATTGAGACAATTCTGACTCCCAGCAATGCTACAGGACAGAATAGAACTGCCCCTGTGGGTTTCCGATGCTGTAACTCTTTACAGGAGCAAAAAGCCTCATCTTTGTCCCATGGAGTGGCTGGTGGTTTCGAACATGCTGACCTTGTGGTTAGCAGCCCAATGAATTACCCATTATGCCCTCTAAAATACACCAAGACGTTGAAAGGCCAATGACTAAGCCAATTCCATCTTTTGTTTTGTAGGAGAAATCCCACATTATACTCAGAGGACTTGTTTTCCTATATAAAGGCCATGTACCCTTTCAACACGGGCTCATTTTTGTAACTGTGACTTTGGGGAGAGCTACTGATGGGGTTGTGGGTACATATTGGGTTGCTAAGTGCAAGGTCAGCAGTTTGAAACCAGTAGTTATGTCTTGGGGAAAAAATGGAGCTTTCTAATCCCATAAGGAGTTATAGTCTCTGAAAACCATGGGCAGTTCTACCCTGTCCCCTAGGGTCACTATGAGTTCACATCAACTCCAAGGCAGTAGGTTTGGGGGTGGGAGTGGGGGTGGTGTGTGTGTGTGTGTTTTACCTTGGGGAGTCTTATTTCCTTCATGGCAAACATCCGGTTGCTGCTTTCCTGCTGCACCAAAAGTGCTCGGCCAAAGGTGCCCTCACCGATGACTCGCAGGACCGTGTAGTCATCCATGACGGCGCTGTGCCACCAGGCTCCACGCACGGAATCACCTGTGTGCGGGAGGCTGTATCTAATGTTTCTGCATCCAAAACAGAAATACTGAAGCTGTCCATTTTCTTTTCAAAAAGCAGAATTAATTCAAAGTTCCCCTGGTAATTCTAACAAGACAATGCCAACTTATTCCTTCAGTCCTTCAACAGAGAGACATCCCAAACCAACCAACCCCACTGCCCTCCATAGCAACTCTATGGTGTCCCCTGCTTTCTGCCAATCAGGAGTGGGTAGGTTCGAATCACCAACCATCAGCGGTCGAGCGCTTGAGCACTGTGCCACCAGGGCCCCCTAACAGACACTGAGCACTAATTCTGTGTCAGGGGTTCGAATCCTGGTCTCTGTCCCCATAGCACTCCAACTCGGAAGGGCCACAGACTTCAACAAATGGAAGAGGGTGAGTTTCATCAGGGGTTACGATGTCACACAGAAGACTCTTTGGAGAGTTGGGAAAAGAGGTTTAAGCTGAAGCTTAAAAGATGAGTGGAAGTTGGTGAAGCAAACAAGAGGGAAAGAGTGATCGAAATAGAATCAGGAATTCGGTTGTAAAGGAGACTGTGTCCACGGACTATCACTGGACAGTGGCTAAGGAAGACCGGAGAAGACGCACTGGAATGGTGTGCTGATGAAGAATACTGAAAGTACCGTGAACTGCCACAACAAACAAATCTGACCTAGAAGCACAGCCCTTAGAAGCCAGGGTGGCAAGACTAGTCTCATCATGTTCTTTAGACACGTTATCAGGAGAGACTTTGGTAAGTAGAAACCAAATCCAAATCTATCAAGTCTATTCTAACTCAGTGACTTAGTAAAACAGGGCAGAGCTGTTTTCTGGATTTCCAGTATTACAACTCTTTATGGGAGTAGAAAACCTAGTCTTTCTCGGAGTGGCTGTTGGTTTCAATCGGCTGACCTTGTAGCTAGCAGCCCAATGCATAACCACTACAGCACCAGGGTGCCTGGTAAAGTAGGGCAGCCAAAAAGCAGCAGTCCCTCTGGGAAATGGACTGACACAGTGGCTGTAACAAAGGGCCCAAATAGAACAACTGTGAGGATGGCACAGGACCACGCAGTGTTTTGTTCTGCAGTACAAAGGGTCACACTCAACAGGACTTAACAGCAGGGCAGGAGTCCCTGGTACAAACCGTTAACACTCCTGGTTGCTCACAGAAAGACTGACTGGCCGTTCAAGTCTGTTCAGAGATGCCTCCGAAGAAAAACTTGGCCATTTGCTTCAGCGATTGAAAACTCTACAGAACACAGTTCTCTTCAGACACACACGGAGTAGGATGAGCTTGAATCAACTCATCAGCCTCAAGCTGGGCGTCAGAATTGGGTGGGAAGGGCAAGGAGACTTGAGGAAGTATTGAATCACAGCAAATGGGGATGGAAAACTTGGCAATGGATCTGGTGATGGTGGCACAACACAATGAATATAACTGATTAATAAATGAATGTAAAATGCTAAGTTGGCGAATGTTGTATAATTTTACCTCAATCAATCATACAATAAATGAGGTTGTCTCTGGTTCAAGGAATTGAAAAAAACCATGAAAACAGGTCAGTAAAGTTCCTGGATTTAATGCTCAAGGTGGTTCGTGGGATGTCTCTGAAGGGTTTTAACCAGTGGGGCAGAATCCTTACAAAGTCGAAAATTCTCACTCTGGCCCAGAGTGCCTGGGAGGAGGCACCGGCCAGTCAGGACGAAACAACAATAGAAAAGGCAGGGAAAGTGAATGGACTGGAACAAGGTGGTGGCCACCGGGATAAAGAAAACTGGAAAGTATGAAGACCTGACAGGATTTGGGGGGACAAGTTTATGAGGGACAAGTAGGGAGTAGAGGACAAGATTGACTCCCAGACTGCAGGGGGTAAACTGGGTGAACAGTGGTGACAGCACTAATCCAGGGCTCTTTAAGTGACCCTGTTAGTCCGGAATTCAGGGGCAAACTCACTGCCCTGGAGTGGATTCCCCATAGCAGCTCTGTAGGTATCCGGAAGCACTCCAGCGAGATCAGCGGTCCAACCCACCAGCCTTCACACAGTGAAAGACGAGGCTATTTATTTATTCCTAGGCTTTTAAAAAAATTATTTATATTATATAATAGCCGAGGCTATTATATTATAAATAATATAATATTATTTATATATAAAAAAAGATTTACAGTCTAGGAAACCGAAAGGCGCAGTGCTACTTTGCCCTACAGCAGCGGTTCTCAAGTGGGTCGCGACCCCTCTGGGGGTCAAACAACTCTCACAGGGGTCACCTGAGACCATCAGAAAACACATATTTCGGATGGTCTTAGAACCGACACCGCTCCTCTGTCTCCAGGCGGTCTGCCCACATGCAGATAGGCCCACAGAGGAGCACGTGGCGAGAACACTATTACACCAAGCTTCAAGACAAAATTTCATTTATTTGTCATTAGAAATAAACGTTTCACAATATTAAATTACAGTTCGTGATTAATCCTTATACTTTATGTTCAATTTGTAACCATGAAAATACATCCTGCATCTAAGATATTTACGCGACGATTCATCACTAGCAAAATTACAGTTATGATAGTAATGAAAATGATTTTATGGGGGGGGTTCACCACATGAGGAACTGTATTAAAGGGCTGAGAACCACTGCCGACGGGGTCATCAGGATGACCTTTGTAAGGAGAGACCAAATTCTCTCCGTTTCCAGCCTTCTCTCCTCGGGGCTCTCA